CTACCAGACTTAACAAACATCAGCGAAAAACGACTGAGAGTACTGACGAGGAAAGCCAGAACCGTACTGGCATTTAGCCGATTTCAAGTTTCGGTCGCTACAAGAACCATTAGGGCAGTAATAAATCCAACAAAAACGTTTTTTTTTTTTTGCGGGATTTTCACGCGTAGTGTGGGAATTAAAAGGACAACAACCTTCGGGGAGAAAAAACTGCTTTAAAGTTGATTCTGCATTTCTTTGGTGTGTGTATTATGTCTGACAGGTTTTTTGCGCTCACTTTTCATCCTCGAGATGAATAGGTACTTTTTGTGAAATTATGGCGTGTTGTGTAAACTGCAGGTTTTTTTTGCTTGTGACTCAAATTGGGACTTTTTCGTACACTAATTCGGTTCTTATCGGCATGCATTGTTTCCAGATGTGTAGCTCAAGAATTGCACTACTTCATGATACCAGTGTCAGTGTGGCTTGAGATTTTTGGCTAAAACAACAAGTTGAAATTAGCATTTTAAAGACTGAGCTTAGTTCTTGAATGCATTTTATTCGTTTCGTCTTTTTTCATTATTAAACTTTTCTCTTGGTAGTTCAGAAAATGCACTATTTGCTGTTTCTCATCGCCTTGAAGCATGACATGAGTTGTTTGTTGATATATTAATTTTTCAGTAGTAGTGAAGAAAAGAATTAATAATTTTATACAACTTTACGTTTATTTGTCATCCTCCAAACTTAAATCTTCGCTGCTTCCGTTCTTTTCTCTGTAAAAATCATTTATTTGACACTTCTTTGAACCATGTTATATCCTGCGCCTTGAAGTCTCTAGCACGAACGGTGTCCTCAATATCCTGACAGCGATGTCTATGTGGTCGCAAGCGCAGTTTTTTCCGTTCAACAAAAGGTGTTGCTCAGAATACTTTTACCGTAGCGAAAATTGGTTTTAAATTTCTAAGCAGCAAAACTACCAGAAGACAAAAAACTTTATCCAAAGAACGGCGGTTTTTGGACTTTGAACTCGTAAATTTTTATAGTGATCACTCTCAAGTACCTTACTATAAACAGTTTAGAGTGCATCAGTTTTTCACAGGCATAAGAGACTAGTTAAGTGGAAGTAAAGAAATGAACAGTTAAACCGGAAAAAGTGCTAGCAAGTGAACTTCTGCTTCTTACTGAATAATGGAAAATCATAAACTAATTGCCCGGATAGACCGAAGGGTATGATTGGTTACAGAAACTGCAGATGCGAAATACAGATAACTTCAAAAGTTCTGAGACTATAAAAGGGTCCACGAAGAGAAACTGACTATGAAAAGCACTGCAGCCTGGCAGCAAAACTGAAGAAACAATTGCAGACATAACATCAAATATCCCACTTTATTCAACTATTATTTCAGAATTTTTCTAAATTTTGCTGGTCAGTGAAGCACGTCCTTAAATTTGAAAAACCGGAGCAAATCTATGAAAACCAATCCTCTAATTCTCGTGTTGTACCCAGCAGAACTTTCCTACCTTTTGCTGAGCCAGTGCAAATCCCTTAATCCTCACACTTATTCCTAAAACCATCAGACCCCAACAGAAACTTTATACACATTTTCTCAAGTGAATTAGGATGTACAACTCAACTGTATTTTGATAAACTCCACACCGGAGTTGATCTCTCAATGTTTTCGCACTTCACTGTCGAGAAAACGAGTCAAGGTGTGAAATCGTAGCACAAAATACTGGAACTGTTTTCCGCATTGAACCTCATCGGCTGCTGCGCGGGACTCTGAAATATCCTTACTTTTCAAAAACTTCCAGTCACCACAAATACAACGAATCGAACGGTGCAACAGCAAAGGAAATCAGAGCATTGACGTTTTGAACAGCAGTAAAACCCGAACCTAGATTTTTGCAACTGGCTACTTTTTAAAAGTTATCGTTGTCTAAAGGCAGCACACACTTGGCTAGACGTTTGCTTCAGGAACACGTTCAGAAAGTGCTGCTGAAGACAGAACTTTTGACAACGCCCACTTTATTCCAGAGATTCTGTCCGACCACTCCCGAAACGGTCGGGTCTTTGAAGTACAGTTGTACCGCAACGCACCAAACACTGCCCTTACTCGAGTGGCAGATTTCATTAACCAGTACCATTACCCTCGATGAAACTATCTCAAATACTACTATCACAAGAACGTTGGTAGTAGCAACACTTTTGAAAGGTACCAAAAGAAAGTACACTTGCGACACCTTTTTCCACTTCGGCAACAAATGAGCTTCTCAGCTTCTGACCTATTTTCCGCCTTCCGCACAGTTTCGTGGTTTGGAAAGAAAACTGTGAATTTACTCTATGTAATCTGACTATAGAATTTAATGCAACTGTAAGAATTTCATGAAATACTCAAGCGGTTACAATTTGCATCTATAAGTGCAAAGCATATACCTTTCAAGACATTAGGTCTGAACAATTTGTGACAGCGTCTCAACATGTTGAGCTACGGGACGAGATAACATCACTTACATACTTCATTAACAAATTCGATGAAAACAACTAGTACATTTTAAAGCCGACTGACACTAAAATCGTTATTCAGAATAATACCTTCTTTTCTGAGACAGAGGATAAGAACTCAAGCGTTACTTTTTTGAAAAGGAATCAGGAATTTGTCACATTTCTAGCACTAATTGTTACTCTTGACAAAGCCGCAAATTATGATCCGCAATAGATCCATCTCAAGTGCATGAAGTAGTAGAATCGATCGGTCAAAATCCTCAAAACTCTGTCACACCTCAAACTAAGTTTTACACGTCGCAAAAGAGTGAACACAACAATCTTTCATTGGGGAATTAAATTCCCAGCCCAGTCAAACCTTAGATCTAACAACGACCTGATTTTGCCAGCTTCCACATGAGATTCTGCCTCCGGTGGTGCTTGTCCGGAAGCACCTACCTGTTGAGCTGTTCGTCTGGCGCAAGTTGGCCTTACAAACGCTTTTCTGAATAAATTTTCACAAATAAAGGGTAAAAATCATTTGAAACAAACTCGAATGCTCTACTCATAGTAAAAAAAACCTTTTCCGAAGGGCTTCACTTTCCTCACTCGTCTTTTTCTTACCACTGCTTTTCAATATTGGGAAAAGATGAGCTTGTTCTATCAAGGCATTTTCCGCAGCATGCATTTGAGCTATCTGCATCGTGTGACCACAGCCAACGGCCATTCGTTTCTGTCTTTAATGTGCTAATAAAGCAAAACTTTAAGAATGATTTTTCAAGAAATTTGAGGAAGACGAAAGCAATATACTTCTAAAAAGCGCCACTCTTTCTAAATCTTGAAAAATTCCAAAAATATACCTGAAATAAACTGCAACTTTGTACAGTCTTGTATTAGTAGGCCCCTCGACTGCAATAGTTTTATATTCTGGGATATCTGGCTCACTTCCGTCCACTTGTCTTAGAGTTAAACAGCACTGTTGCAACTGCGACTTAGGGTCATTCCAACGTTGTGACACAATGAAGAACTGAATAATCAAGCAAAAAATTCCATGCTTTGGAAAACCGAAGAATTGAGAGAAAGAGTACGAAAAATTGCTAACAAAGTTTTCATGACTCAAAACAAATTTTTAAACTGGGCTTGAAGCAAATATCTACAACGAGGACACAATAATGCTTAATAATTATCTTTCTAGAGTAGGTTTGAAATAACTTCATGACATTATATCTCGACTAACCTTCAAACGAGGGAAAAAGCAGACACGGCAAAAAACCTTGCAGTAGTCAAAACCACGATCTACATAAAGTGCTCCCAAAAATGCTGTAAAAAAGCTAGAATTAATGACTGCTTCTAAAAAATATCAGTAGATCCAAAGGTACAATGCCTTATCCACATAATGCACCTATGGAATAAATAAGCATGCATAAAGAGCTGTCGAACTGGAAATCATAACATATATATATATGTTCTTTAAGTTTCGCTGATTAGTAGAATCATTAGTAGAATCTATTCTAGCATAGAGAAAGCCAAAAAAAAACCTGAAAAAGTGAAATCCCCGTCAAGTTACATCCCTTCAAATTTGGAAAATTTGCCAGTTTGCCGCTTGAAATGCCTATCTTTGCAGACTTCTATTTTAGTTCGTCTTAAATAGAACTTGATGCTTTTGGAACGTTCGACTTGCCATGTCCTGAGGTTTTAAATGCGTATTGAACGTTCTAATTCTATAAACCACATAGATATAGTAAAAGTAATATTTCAAAAAGACATGGAAAAGAAACGAAATTCTAAATTCTTTAAAGAGCTACATTTTGTGCAGAATTTTTCGTTCTGCAACACTTAACAATTTGGTGATGGCAATTTTTTGGTATCGGGAGCTACCAGCCGGAAGAGGACGTGAAGCTAAAAAAACCCACTATTTGTACAGTAATCGCCTGTATTTTACAATGGCGAAACCAACCGTAGTCGCTTCTGAAGACCGCAACTGGCAGCTGCAAATAACCGGTATGGTTTAAAAGTTGAAAATTCGTTACCAAACTTGCACTTTACTTTTACAATTTCATAAATTACCATTCTGTAGAATTGCAAGAGGTAGCTTTCACCCCAGCGTTTTTTGCTTCTCGAATTTAGAATTGTCTCCTCCTTGTATTCGTTAAAGTTTCGGTTACATAAGCGAACAGAATCCCGACTCGCTGTTTTTCTTTGAATTTACGTGCTACAGTTCTCCAAAAAGATAGAAAGTTTTAAGAAAAATTTTAATTCAACAAATATCCAGGAAGAGCAGTGAGTTTTTAGACTTCTTTGCGACGTCAAAAAGTATACTTGCTACATAGTTTTGACAGTATAAAAGGCGAAAAGTAAAAAACGCTAGAGTGAAGGATGCCTGTTGCAACTCTGCGGAATAATAATTGGTAATATTATGAAATTAAAGTACAACTTTGGTAGCAAATTTTTGACGTTTAATTTACACTGGATATTTGCAGCTGCCCGCTGCGGCCTTCAGAAGCGGCTCTGGATGGTTTCGGCATTGTAAAATACAGGGGATTACTGTAAAAATAGTAGGTTTCTTCAATTTTACATACTATTCATGCTCACAGCCTTCAATACCAAAAAATTGCATCTCCAAATTTTGATACGTCGTAGGGCAAAAAAATCTACACAAAATTTTTTTTTTTGAAAAATTTAAAACTTCGTTATTTTTTGTTTGTTTGAAATCTTGTTCTCATTACATTTCCGATTTTTTTCAAGAAAATTGAAAGAATAAATATGCGTTTAAAAATTCAGAACATGAAAACCCAATAGACAAAAAGGCGTTAAATTCTATCCAGAACGAACTAAATTACAAGTCTGTAAAGGTAGGCACGTCAAGTGGCAGCCTGGCAAAATTTACAACTTTGAGAGTGTGTAACTTGGCAGAAAGTTCACATTTCCGGGTTTTTCCATCGGCTTCTTCTATACTAGTCTAGACTCTGCTAACCGTAAAAATTTAAAGAAAATCTGAGATATGAAGGAAAAGAAGTGCGCGATTTGGCATGGAATTGGAAATTAATATACAGACGTCATCATTTCCAATTTGGTGCAAAAATTTTTTTTGTGGCAGGATGAGAAGTACAGTAGTCTGATCGGCTCGCATCTTATTAAAAGTTGTAACCCACCTTCACATTGAGAATTGTTTTGTTGGTTTATTTTTGAAGATCTGAGGATTTTTTGACATCATTCGATTTCTCAGACAGTAGCTATTGCTACTTCATACTAATATGTAGCGTCATTGTCGAGATATTTGCCAAAATGTGACTTTGAAGCTCATTTTTTAATTGGCATTTTTCTGTGATTTTGTATTGGAAACTGAGGATGTTTGAATCATACGATTTTTTTTGTTTCTTACACATAGGCTCCTTAAAGTGTGTTTTTCAGAAAAATAAATTTTTACTGGGAGGTTTGCCAAGCTATTTTTTTGGAAATTTACTTTTTATCAAGGAAAGTTTTTAAAAAAAAATTTTACAAAGTACAGCTGGACCGGCTAGTTATATCCGCCTACAAACAAGCTCCAAACTGTTTTTTTCTTTTTTTAGGTATTTTTTGATTTCTATTAACTTATATGACGGTTATAAATATAACATATTATATATTATTATATATGGTACTATTTATCATATATATTATATATATCTCAGAATTTTCTTAAATTTTGCTGATTAGTAATCTAGGGTAAAAAAGAGAAAACCGAAGAAAAAAACCTGGAAAAGTGAGCTCCCCGCCAAGTTACACCCCCCCCCCCAAAGTTGCAAAAT